GAGAAATATGGATTGATTTAAGGACTAAGATTTAGAGTTGAAAATTTGTGATTATTAGAATATATATGTTAAACAGAGTAAGAATGTACTTTTTGGAATAATATGTTTATTTGTATGAAAATTATTTTGTAATGGAATGAGAATAAGAATATGAAAGAGGTTTTTAGAAATTCGGATTGCTTTAACAACTAATTGAGTGGGTTAAGTTAGTAAGACGATGTTTTGTGTAATAATAGGTGTGTTCTTTTTTTTAGACATAATTATTTGAATGAGATTTAAATGCTATCTGAAGAAATAAGAGAGATTTGTGATAAAATCAATGATTTATGAGATTATGAATTAGAATATATTTGGATTAGTATTTTAGAAGGGATACCCGAAGTGATAATACGTTTATCTAAGATTAAATTGGACTATGGTAACTGTAAATTAATAAAGTTCAAAACAGGATTAGGATTTATAGATATGTAATGTAGAAATGGATTATGTTAAATAGGTTATATTATTTGAGGGAAATAGAGAGGGAACATTTAATATATTTACTTGAGCTATTATATGATTTTGTTTTTGGATGATTGATCACCTAACCACCACGGTGTATCTTGAGCATTCTGTTGTAAAAGTTAAAAAACCAATAAAATTTGTTAAAAAAAAAAGTCCCTGACCACTCAACCCAATACAGCATAACCAACACAAATCCTAAAAAGAATTACACTGCCATACATCAAGAACATCTCAGAAACTGTAAATAGACTACTACAACCACATGGAATCAACGTAGCACTCAAGCCAACTAAAGCCCTTCAAAACATCCTAAGCAAACCAAAAGACCCAGCAACCCCAGAAAAAAAAACAGGAGTCATCTACAACATACAATGTAAGAACTGCAACAACCACTATGTAGGACAAATAGGCAGAAGACTGGCAGAACGCATCCATGAACACCAACTGGCAGTCAGAAGGCATGACGAAAATTCTTTAATTTCACAACATATAGACAGATTTAACCATAATTTCAATTGGGAAAATGTGACAATCCTAGACCAGGCCAAATCTGAAAATGCCAGGGAATTCCTAGAAGCCTAGCACTCTGACAAATCAGCCATCAATAGACACATAGACATTAACAACATCTACAGACTATGCAAACGAGACAATCAACTAGCCCCAAAGAAAAAGACTCCAGCACCTTTCCACCAGTAATCAGCACTCAGATCAGCATAGATTAACTCCAAGGTCAACTTCAGACCAACAGTCAAGTAAGCAATACCCCAATCAAGAAACTGCCAAAGAGCCATTAGTAAACAGCCCAAACAAAGAATCCCTAAGACCACCCCCACCCACACAGACAGGCAAGACACCAGAATATAAACTGACAGCAAACAGCACTCCTTACTAGCACTGATGATGTTACCTAGTTAGGGTAATGAAATGTCTGCAAGAAAACAAGCTCAGAGAGCACCAAGGACCCCTCATTTCAACCCTGAGCTACAAATATTCTCTTTCAATGATTGATGGTTGTATACAATTCTCAGAGGGGGGTCCTCACCTTTGCCAGGTGTGCTGTGATCTTGCTTCTGTGATACGAAAAAGATAGGAGCCAAGGCTGGAGATTGGGATGGTCATATGAATTCCTTTTGCAAATTAATAGTCCAAATACCGTTTCAGGGTTTCTAATTCTTTAGTAGACATTTGGTATGGCATCTTAGCAGGAATTTTGGCACCAGGGACCAGGTTTATGGCATAATCACAGTCTCTGTATGGGGGAAGGACAGAGGCTTCTCCCCAAAGACATCAGCAAAGTCTACGTACTTGTTTGGGAGATTGGAAATCTTTTTAGTCTTCAGGGGTGGCTGGTGGGGGTTTAGATGGCTGATTGCAGTGAGAAAGACAATGAGGGCTATCAAAGGCAATAGAGTGTTTCTTCCACTTAATATTGGGGTCATGATGTTTCAAACAAGTAGTTCCCAACAGAAGATCAGGGTGGTCAGCCACTAAAAGGGTTAACTTTTCTGAGTGCTGGTCTATAGTCAGTTGCAAAGGCACTGTGGTGTGAGTGACTGGACCTGCTTTTAAGATTCGGAAGTCAATAGATTTACTTGCAATGGAAACTTCAAAGGGACAGTGGGGATCTTGTGCTTCTGAACTATTGTGAGGCTTATAAAGTTGGCTGTTGCCCCAGAATCCTATCAAAACGGGGATGGTCATTTCCTGACCGTTGTGGAGGGTTAGGGTAGAATCAAGTTTTAATAACGTACCTTGGTGTGAATGCAAGTGAGCCTTGTTCAGTGCCCCCCTCCCCCCGTGAGCTTGTGCAGGAGTTTACATGGTCTTGTGGCTTGCCATCCAGGCGGTAAGTAGCGGAGATGTTCCCAGGCTGCAAGTTTCCTCTTCTGGGAGGTTTAGTAGGGCAGTCCTTGACCATGTGTCCGGGTTCTCCACAGTACAAACAGAGGGCTAATTCTCTGTGTCATTAACGTTCTCCTGTGGCTGGGGCTTGTCTGGCTGTCCCAATTTGCATTGGCTCATCACTCTCCCAATTTGCATCAGCTGTTCACCCTCCAAGAACATGCAGGTCATTAAGCAGAGTGTGGGGTGCCTCTTGGATGCGAGGGGCCGTTGGAGGACTAGTACAGGCCCAGGCCCACCTGCCCTGAGCCTCCAAAGGCCTCCCCCAAGACACCCCAAGCTCCACTTCAATAGAGGGGGAGGGGTACGACATCATCTATCTCCAGTCTACAACACAGTCCTTTCAGCAGCTCCAAGAAGGTTCCACACCCATTTGCACCACTCAGGTGACCTTGAGGACACAGATAAACTTCCAAGTGGCCTCAATGACTCTCTAAAACAGACATGTCAAACTCACGATGTCACGTGATGTCACACAATGTATTGGGACTATTTTGCCATTGCCGGCAATGGGGTGGGCGCGGCTTCCGTGTGACATGTCCGGCCCGTGGGCCGGCAGTTTGACACCCCTGCTCTAAAAGAACGTAAATGACCAGCTCTCTGCAAGGAATATAAATCCTTCCATTCCCCACCAGTCAGAGCTGGAGAAGCTTCTTGGATGAGAAGCGAAATGTCTTCAAAGAAAAACAAGAAATTCCAGTTGCCTCTTAAAAAAGCACCTTTGGGACAATGATTGTTGAGGAAAGCAAGCAGTTTATTAAAGCTTGTAAAGTCACTTTTAATGGGAATATGGTTGTGGCGCAAATTACTATGGTCCTCAATATAGAGACTAAAAAGTACCATTTCCACAATATATGAGTGCAGAGTTGTGTTTTCAGCCCCTGCCACTACAATGCAATACTTCACAAATCAGACCAAGTTTATTTTCTTTAAATGCTGGTTGGGCAACCACCGCTGAGGAGGACCCTCAACGACCGCGGAAGGGCGGCAACCCTTCCGTTGGATCCGAGGCAGCTCCTTTGGACCGACAAAGAAAAGATTGGCCATTAACATGGCCGATCACCAAGCCGTTCCTGCCGAAAGCCCAAAGCACTACTAAGCACGACGAAAGCAACCTGGAGGAGTTGGGTGAGACCTTACCTTACCTTTCCTGCTTCCCATCTATTTTCCTGTAAAAGCCTTTAAATACCTTCTTCCCCCTTCTCAATTCTGCGGCTCCTGCCTACTTTGGGAATATAAAGCTAAGGCAAGAAAAAAAATAGAACAACTAGACTAAATGACTAAATATTTGGACTTGTAATTTCTGGATACCTGGGCTCTCAAAAAGTTCTTTATTCTTACAGAGACCTATTGTTTTGTTTGTTTGCTAAGCTGGAAAAAAAAGAGGAATATTTCTTTCTTTCTTCTTTGAACCGGATAACAGCTTAACTGTGCATGGCACTAGGGACATCTTGTGGCGAAACGTGGTACAGCAAGTGAATTTCTTTTTTGACTGGGAGACTTCTGAGACTAAAATTTGTCCTTGACATTATCAAAAAAGATAAGAACGTGAAACAGCTGGGTGGTGAAAACAATTTTCTATAGTGGAGGTGGATTCCTATTGACTTTCATTAAAAATAGCCTCCACTAAAGGACTATTTGCAAATACCACAGAAATGGAGGAACACCACCCACAGCTTAACTTCAAATTTATACTTGAAAAAATCTTAGAGGCTACTGAGCAAGTGAATTCCAGACTGAAAGATATACGTACCACCTTAAAGCTACAAAACGCAGCCCTGACTCCAATAGATGAACTTACAACCCAAAAAGCAACAGAAGAAGAAAGAATTAATACCAAAGTGGGTCTCAAAGAATGCCAGCTACAATCTACTCCAAACTCTGATATCCAAACTTTGATTGCATCCAAAGAATCTGCAACTTCAACAGCAACAGAAACTGAAGAAAGCAACACTAAGACGGAAGGTGCTGAAGACTTACATACACAATACATTGAGAATTCAGATAACCCAGATGACCAAAAAATAACCATAACACTGAATATGACCTTTCATCTAAACCAGCTGAAATCAGAAGAAGAAGATCAGCCTGAACTTATGACAAATACACTAAGCCAAATATGGAGATTTAAACTATAAGGCCAACAATTTAATGACTATGAAGGGACTAGCTTCCTTGATAGGCTGATGACTGGATGGTCTCCCTTGATTCAAATGACATATGCAGGAATGAAGGGAGATCCACCCGAGGATTTAAAAGCTCTGTTATGGAAGCCTGTTTGGCACAAAAGGAAGGCCAGAGTTAGACTTAAAAATGGTTTTCTTTATGTGACCTCTAATGGAAGAGCTTTAAATTGTACTTAATGGGATAAGGAGATTTTAAAAGATATCAATTGATGTAATATTCAGGATTTATATTTATAAGGGAAATAAATTAGTTACTAGAATAATAGTTTTGAATTATAACATAGAAGATGGATTCAGAGGATAAAAGTTATTTTATTAGTAAGCGAGGAATATGACTGTGGAATAAACTAAGAATTTATTTGAATAAATAATAAGTGTATTTTAGAGATGATAACTATTCTATAATGAACTAAGGGAACTGTGGACTATCTGAAATCTAAATACTATGGACATTAAGCCAACTGGAATACTGTAATTGAAACCAGATAAAAGTTAAAAACAGGATTTGAAGGCATACAAATCAAAAGTTGTCGATAAATGTTTCAAATAATTGAGTTATAACTAGCAATGTATTAATCCAAAATTTGGTATAATAACTAAGGGAAACAGAGAGGAAATTGTTGATGATGTAAACTGACATGTATGGAAAAACGTGTTATTGGACTATGTATTACCCAACCACCAAGTTGCTTCCTTAATACCTAAAGCTTTGTTAAAATGGAAAATTAATAAAACTTGTTTAAAAAAAAAGTTCAAAAATGGTTTCTGGTGACGTCGCTGCAAGATGGACTCAGGGAAATGATTCTCCTCTCCCCGGGTCCGATTTCTACCAGCTGGTGGGTCCAGTTGGACTGAAAGTCGCCCCATAGAGGCGACTGCCAAAGGGTGAAATTTGAAGATCGCAGGTCAGTGATAGCTGGCCCGCTGGATACAAAGTAGCCCTCGGAACTGGCAGGAAGAAAGGCTGACTGCATCCAGGCGGTCCGCCATTACCAGCTGTTCGTCGGAGACGAAGAATTCTAAAGTGAAAGCAAACAGCTGATCTGGGTGAGAATATCTTCTTCTCTCTCTCTGCAAGTGGATACCAGTTTTACGAACAGCATTTCAGCAGCTTTTGAGAGCGAAGCCCTTAGCTTTAGGGAGGGGGGTGAAGTTTTCTTTCTTACCCCCCCCTCCTGAATTACAAGCGGCGGTTTAAGCCCCTGGCAAACTAAAAACTTAACATATCGTAAAGCTGTCTGAGGCACAAAAGGATAACTTGGGAAGCTTCTGGCTCTATAGATTTTTTTTGTCTACTTTTTGTTTGAAAGCCATCACAACTTTTACTTTTTAAATCTTTAAACTACTTTTTATTTTATTTTTCCCCCCTTTAAATATGGTGGGAATGGACATCTAATGCCATCTAGTGGTGAAATTGAGAATTATGTCCAGCTTCCCCTGATTGGAGTTAACTCAGATTAAAATTTGGTTGTATGCCCAGATACTGCTTATCTGAAGGTCCTTGAAAACTTTGCCTGAGAAAAAAAAAGATTTCCTTTGGTTTGCCTGGTTTTACAAGATAGACTATAATTATAAATAAAACTGTAGTTGAAGCCATCTGACTCCCCTGGATTATAAATACAGCTTGATTTGGAACTGTTATAAGCTGTCTCTGAAGAAGTGAATACCAAGAAACTCCTTTGAACAGAACTCTGTGGATTATAAATTTTGGCATTTTTCTTTTTTCTTTTTCTTTTTTTATTCTTGCGGCATTTTTTTTCCTCTCCTTTTTTCCTTGCCCTGCTGCTATTATTATCTTTTTCTTTTCTTTTCTTTCTTTTCTTTTTTTTCCTCCTTTTTTTACCCTTTGCTATTTTTATGGTTTGCCTCTCCTATTAGGAGCCTATTGGATTATAAAATTTGGTTATTTGGTGGATTACAACATATGAATTAAAGATAAAGATGAGTGCCCCAAACCTATCTAAAGTTGAGGAAAAAGGATCTTCTGCTCCTGCCTCCACCTCTGCAAGTCCAGTACATCAGAGATCAATTGCCACAATGCTCCAGCATTGTGAGACAGACACCTTCCAGAAAGATACGCAAGCAACTCTGCAAGCAATTCAAGAGGCTATCGCTGCCCAGACGGCAGCTACAATGAAAAACCATGAGTTGAAAAGTGACTTTGACAAAATGAACCAAAAAATTAAAAATATAGATTCCCAAGTTGAAAATTTTAAACAGATGATCACAGACAACCAACAAAGAATCCAAAAAATAGAAGATAAGTCAACTGAGGTTGATCAGAAACTAGAAGTTTTAAAAGATGAAAACCAAAAATTGATGCAAATAAACAGAAAATTAGAAGATTCGTTAGCGGTTATAGAAATGGAAAAGGCCTCATACTTTTTAAGATTCCAAAATATAATAGAAGATAAGGAAGAGGATCTCCTAGGTTTGATGACTGAGTTACTGGCAGACGCATTAGGAACTGGAAAATTGCAAATGGAAGGAGAATTAGATCATATCTATCGAGTCAACTCAAATTATGCCAGAAGAAATAAAGTACCTAGGGAAGTGCATGTTAGATTTCTTAAAAGATCTACAAGAGATGAGATCCTGAGAAAAGTAAGAGATGAACCGTTGAAATACAAAGAAAAAGAAATTGTAGTTCTCAAACAAATCACTAGGAGAATAAGAGAGTCTCGAAGAGAATATCAGTTCCTAACTAGGAAATTAGCTGAAAAAGGAGTGAATTTCAGATGGCTGATTCCAGAAGGGATCTTAATTTACTGGGACATGAAGAGATATAGATTGGACACACCACTTAAAGCACTGGAGTTTTTCGACAACCACAGAGCTTTTCTGGAAAGAGGTGACCCTGAACCAAAGAAACAAGAAGAAATGGCAGATGAAGGAGCGGCTAAACAAAAAGAGGAGGAAGAAAACAAAAATACATATTCAGAAGAAGGAGCAAGACCAAGATACCAGAGACAGATAAGATCGACTAGAAGACTGAGACCTAGATATAACTGAAAGAGATGGAGGAGACTGGGATTTTATCAATAAATATAAATGGACTAAATTCTCCCTCAAAAAGGAGAAAAATTTTCACACAACTACAAAAAGTAAAAATGGATATAATTTGCCTTCAAGAAACACACATTAAGAGACAACATTTCAAATTGCTAGAACAACCGAAAATTGGTAAACTGTACTTCGCATTAGCATCTCAAAAGAAAAGAGGAATAGCTTTTTACATTTAAGAAAAGATGAACCCCAAACAAATTTATGCGGATGAAGAGGGGAGAATATTAATGGTGGAAATTATGATGGATCAAAAACAGATACTGATGGTAGCAATATACACACCTAATGAGAAACGAGCAATTTTATCAAAAACTATATAAAAAAATACTGGATTTAAATTATCAAAATCTTTGTATAATGGGAGATTTTAATGCAATAGATGGAACTCTGGACTATAAAAGCGCTAAACAAGGGAGAAAAGGAGGAAATATATTACCTAAAGCGTTTTCAAAAATGATAGAAGAATTCTGTATTCAAGATATATGGAGAGAGAGAAACCCAGAGAAATTGCAATACACATTTTATTCAAATAGACACAAATCATGGTCTAGAATTGATATGATATGGATATCTTTGGAATTGAAAACGATGAACCAAGAAGTGGAGATAGAAACTAATGTTTGGGCAGACCATAACCCAATAAAAATGACTTGGAAAGGAATTAAGAAAAAACCAAGATGGTCCCTGAATAAATCTATATTGAAAGAAAAAGAATTTTTACAATTAGCGACAAATGAAATTGAATTTTTCTTTAAAATAAATAAGAAAGAAGAAACATCGCTCCAAAATGTATGGGACACGGCTAAAGCATATTTCAGAGGGGTGGCTATAACCTACATTGCTAAAAAGAATAAAGAAAAGAAACAACTACAGTTAAAGCTGAGGGAAGAACTCAGAAAGCTAGAATCAGAACTACAAACAGATCCACAAAAGAAAATACTCAAGAAACAAATGGAGATAATAAAGCATAAATTAAATCTGGCTGAGATGGAAATAATGGCTCAACAGATTAAACGGACTAAACAGAATTTCTTTGAAAATGCCAATAAGCCGGGGAGATGGTTAGCATATAGACTGAAAAAAGAAAGAGAGAAAAAATGATAAATAAGCTACAAGACTCAAAAGGAGAATTACAGTTCCAAAATGATACAACGAAAAAAATCATTAAAGATTACTACAAGATACTTTACAAGGCAGAGGAAACCCCCAAAGAAAAAATACAG